CATCCATAGCACACAGGGCCATCCTCAACCTTTTCTTTCTTTCTTAGAAGTTTGCAGAACTTCTTCATGACAAGCTTGACTTCATCATCGTCACTTGAATCATCCATCGTTGATTCTTTGACGGCTTTTAGTGCTATCCCTTTCCTTTGGTCATTCAAAGACGGATTAAGAATAGTCGATTCATAGGTTTTTAGATTACGTCTTAGGCCATCGATGGTGACATTTGATGTGCCGATTGATTCATAGATGGCATCGGCCTTGGATCGCCATTCGGATGTCAAGCTCCGTAGGATCTTTCGCACAAGATCCCTGTCGGTGTACGTCTTCTTTAATGCATGAAGATCGTTGACTATCTTGGAAAATCGGTCGAACATGTCGTCAATCTTCTCATGCTCCTTCATCCTGAACATCTCATATTCTTGGGTGAGGAAGTCAATCTCAGCTTCACGTACTTGGTCCGTTCCTTCGTACGTCACCTCAAGTTTATCCCACATCTCCTTGGCGGTTGAGCAGCAGGAGATCTTGCGGTAGTCATCAAGATTTACGGCACAATAAAGCATATTTATTGCCTTTGCGTAATTCTCGACCTTTTTTATGTCCTCGGCATGAAACTCATCTTCGGTCTTGGGGATTAACTTGTCTCCGACTTTCTTCATCGGCACCTCTTCCCCGTTTTTGATAACCAACCATAATTGGAAGTTCGTGGAACGAATATAGATTCTCATTCGTTCTTTCCAATATGTATAATTGGTTCCATCAAAAAGAGGTGGCCGTGTAGTTGATTGACCTTCTCCAATCCCTGCATAAACATTTCTAGAAGAAGAACCCATGATCGCTTTACTCTCAAACGGTTAAGTTTGGACGCGAGTTAGGCTCTCATACCAATTGTTAGAATAAGTGACCAACGCTAGAGGGGGGTGAATAGCGTTTGATCGTAGAAATCGCAGGAATAAAAAACTTAAAAGAGAAGTAAAGAGAAGAGTAAGAGGCACACCGATTTTTACCCTGGTTCACCACAACTTGTGGCTAATCCAGCCTCCCGAGAGACTCTCTCGAGCTACACTACTTTCGTTAAGCTTACGGGTGCTTAACAAACCGTTAAAACCTGAGAACTCGAGTCCCACGAGCCTCAACAACACTTGCTCGGAGATACCGCACTCCAAGACTTCAACCCGAAGGAAAATACCTTTCCTTCGTACAACCAAGGGAAACAAGCTTCCCTTAATGTGTATACAGCACTAAGACACTCAAGAACAAGGCTCTCTTCTAGAGTAGATGTTGAGTAAACTATATACGCTCAAGAACAACTCAAACTTCACAAATTGGCTCTAGAAAGCTATGAAAAATGATGTTGTTTTAATGCAATGATGATATGAATATTGTGAAGTGAATATATTGTGAAAAGCAAACCCAAACACCCCTTTTTATAGTGCCA